ATGTAATAGGCCCTGATCTGGCATCTCGTCTGCAGTCGCTCTCTCACAGACGTGCCGTCGCCTCCCTCTGTCTTTTTTTACAAATACTTTCATGGTAACTGCTCCGATGAGCTGCTTTCGCTGGTTCCCAGACTTCATGAATCTAAGCGTTCAACTAGGCTGACATCTCGCTCTCACACTTTCACTGTCGAATAGGTTAAATGTAGCCGTCTCTTCTACTCCAACAGCTTCATGTCTCGTACCTCTCGCCTGTGGAACTCCCTCCCCTTTTCCTGTTTCCCTGATAGCTCTAATCCCCAACTATCCAAATGTAATGTCAATCGACGTCTCCAGATGCCTTGATTTATCCCCTATCCTTCTCTTCATCCTTTTCTCTATCACTCCTCTTTGCTCTTGCTCCAATCTCTGTAACCCGTTGCGTGCTAGTGGCTTCCTGTCTTGTTAGTGGTGAAACGCTTAAAAAAAATGAGACATGGTTTTATAGATCGGATTTAATCTTTTTCAGAACATTCAGTATCTGTAAAAGCAGATACTGCAGACCGCTTACTTTTGGTAAAACAGATCTGACGGTTAAAAAAAAATGCTAAAAAGTCAAGATAATATTTTTGCTGCAAGTATTGGTCATGTATAAGAGAAACAACCAGTTATCCAATGTGCAGGAAATGTCTAATTGTTCCTGTCTGCAAAATTCTGGATTAAACTGTCAGATTTAAAAGAATTGAAAAAAAAAAAACGAAAAAAAAAAAAAAAAAACACAAAAAAAAGTTCGACTTATAAGAATCTTGAAAGGGCCACTGAAAAACATTGGTAATCATAAACATAAATTAAACGTACATATACAAGGGACGCTGAAAAGTTCCCAGCCAAAACAAGAATTAGTGTATGAAAAGAAAATCTTTTATATGGACTTTAACTCGGATTTTAAAAAGTGGATAGAACCGAGAACTTTTCAACAACTCTCACGTAGACATTGATACAAAAGAGACAAAAACACGGAAAATTAAACTTACATGGTCACTTTCACATATATACAAACAACGGACAAAATACGAAACTACGAACTATAACACACACACACATATATATATATATATATATATATATATATATATATATATATATATATATATATATACAGAGAAAAAAGAGAGATACATAGATATATGGAGGAGGTGAAAGCTTCTCAGACTTATTCACATCTAGAATTGAATATTTTAATATCAAAAACTCTCTCTCTCTCTCTGACTGTGCGTGTGTGTGCGTGTGTGTTTGTAGACAAAGAAAGAAAAGGGAATAAGACGTAAAACCTACCCACGACACACAGACATTATTATATATATATATATATATATATATATATATATATATATATATATATATATATATGGACCACATGGAGGACAGTTGTCGAGGTTAATAACATTAATGTGAATAACCAATTCCACATATACACGCATTGGACGTCAGTTTCACAAACAAGACCACCACATAAAAGCACATATCTATCTATCTATCTATCTATCTATCTATCACAGTTTGTTCATATCTATCTATCTATCTATCTATCTATCTATCTAAGTCTGTTCATATTTATCTATCTACCTATTTAATTAGAATGTACGACAGATTAGTGGGTGGATTTTCCTGCTTTGAATATAAGCATTAGAAAGAAAGAAAGAAAGCGAGAATATAAAGGGGGAGAGAGAGAGAGTTAAAACATAAAACAGAAAGCAAGAGAAACAGTTAAAGAAAGAGAGAGTAAAAGAAAGGAAGAAAGAAAATTGGTCGGCAAAATCCCTTTAATCTTCTTTCAAACTTTAATGTCTGAGAAAAAAAAAAATTCATTTCGGAAAAGCAACTATTAAAAACATGCTTAAGATTGCGAAAGTATTTCAGACATTGGACGCCATATCACTTAGGCATCTCGATCGATTAGGATCTCGATCACACAGAAATCGATATTTTTACAAAGGTTATCTATCTATCTATCTATCTATCTATCTATCTATCTATCTAACTGTCTGTCTATCTATCTATCTATCTATCTATCTATCTATCTTAATGAATAGATTTAATATCCATTAACATGAATAATACTGCTAATATCTCTGGTTAATTTAGTTAAAGCAGCTTTAAGTGAAATGATTGACAACTGATTTTGTCTCAATGGTGACTACTTCTCTGACATTTTCCGTAGTATAATTTAACAGTTGAAGAATAAATCCACTGAAAATGTTATGATATAAAAGAACAGAATTGGTAAAAACAGAAACTATTTTAAAACTAATAATAATATGTGTAACAATGAAAACAGCATCAGATAATATCTTTTCCCCATGTCAATACGATATATTAAAGATCTTTTCGTGTTTGAACCTCTCAAGAACGAACTGATATTTTTTTATATTTATGTACGACTCTCTACGCTGATGTCTGAGTAGCGTAGCGGTTATCGTCATTCTGGTTTCAAAATCCGGCCAAGTTCTTTGCGAAAACACAGCAGCGACACCTATGCTGGTAAGGTTCTAATCTTATACTCCTCATAGTGTGTGTAATTCTCTAACATTATACTCCCTACCGTGTGTGTAATGCGCTAAGCGTATACTCCTCATAGTGTGTGTAATGCTCTAACCTTATCTTCCTCATAGCCTGTGTAATGCTCTGACCTTATACTCCCTACTGCGTGTATAATGCTCTAACCTTATACACCTCATACTGTGTGTAATGTCACTAAGGTGGATAAGGAAGAATGCTTTTTATATGGCATCTTTCGATTATCTTATATCTTCCGAGTATTGATGGTCACTTTGTACTTGATATCATCATAATCGATGACAGAAGCTTCAAACAATTCTGGCTTTATTTCAAAGGACATATCACCCACTTTTAAAATGCTAAGATCAATTTTGGTCAGATAATTCCTTTTATTTTCATTGAGAGAATCATTACCATCTTTGATGACCAATTTAAAGCACTTCTTCAAAATTACAATAAATCCAAACACATCATTCTGCAATTACAACATCTGAAAGAAAATGTACAGCTGGACAATAATAATAATAATAATAATAATAATAATTATTATTATTATTATTAACAAACAAAACTATAAATAACCAAAAATTGCAATCGGATGCACAATTATTCCCATTCAATAATCCCTAGAATAATTCGAAACACAACCGTTACCTCCAACCGTTAGAATAATGCAATAGACTATGCCTAATGCATCAATGACATGAATATATAAATTGTCTAGCAAAAACACAACGCTCATAGCCTGGCGATTGCATTTAGCATGAAACAGGTTGAGTGTTGACATCAATATCCACTTTTATATTTACATACGCTCTATCCTTGATATTAAGACCATTAGCCCATAAATATAGTATACCTTAAAACTATATTTTATCATATATATATATATATATATATATATATATATATATATATATATATATATATATATATATATATACAAAATTGTCCAAATCGTGTAACAGCAAAATTGTCCATTTGCTAGATTAAGCTTTGAAATGTTGTATCTTAGAAATGATTAAAAATATCTTACTGGATTTCCCTGAGGTTTTTATAACACTCTTGTACTCTACTATGAGCAATAAGAATGTATTTAGCTCTAAGTTGAAATGAAGTTCCCTTTTACTGTTGTGACCTACTGATCCATTTTTTTTCTCTCAACTGGTCCCTCTTTTTTAAACTTATTCACCGTTCTCTTTGTTATATACTTCCCTGTGAGATTCAACTTGAGGTTTTATTTTAGGGATATTATTGTGAAAGTTATGAAACAGAACAGCTCTTCAACCCACACAACTAAATTTCAGAGCTGATAGAATTTCTAAAAGCACATTCTACACTGAACCATGAAATTCACCGAACCATGCAGCACGTGTTAGCCATGCTTATTAAATAAGAATAAATAACTGTCCCATTTCCGTAGATGTTTTGACAAAATAAAGATTGTTTGACATTTCTATATAAACTTAAAATATTGATGTAACAAAAGTAGGGCCACTTTAAACTTTAGTGGTGTTTAGTATAATGAAGAAATTAGTATGCAACTCACAAGACATTGACAGATAAACTGGGTGCTTCATGAATGTGCTTTTAATTTAAACAAATGGTTTAATGTATGCAAATGATAGGAAAACTTTCATCATTGAAGTAATTAGTGTTCTTATATTTCAAGCCATTGATAGTGAGTTCATTTTTCAATGGATGCCCCACAAATGTGGCAGTGTGTAAAGGCTGGTAGAGTCCAACATATATTTATAGTTAACAAGTGAATGCAAATTATTTGACGCACAAAATTGGGTTTTCACTGAAAGGGCCATGAATATAAAACAGAACTTCAACAATTGATTTTCTCGTCAATTAAAGACACTAATTTTTTGTTTAAGAAAAAATTAAATTAATTACACATATTTCTGGCATGTTTTTCTTTTTTTCTTTGGAAAATGCGCGATGAAATCTGAAGTGTGAAGTGTGTGTCACGAATCTCAAAACACGACTACTACTACTATTAGGATGATGACAATAATGACAGGGTCAACAATACAGCGTGGAAGAAATTGGAAAGAAGTGAACAAGTAAGCAAGGCACCACGTGGCATGGATTAATGACGAGTGAAGTTCGTCTAGATTAACATTCCTACTGCGTGAATTCGAACCTAACTCTGTGCTCCATGCAAAATTCCACATGATATTACCCAACGGTGAGTGACGTATCGTAAAATCAACCTACCTAACTCGGTGTGTAATAATATTTTACAAGGCTGGTCTGGCTGACCATTACGATTGAGTAGTGAGTTCGATCCTCACTGGGTGCCCCATATAAAATTCCACATTAATAACCCAATAAGGATTGACATGCAAAATCAACAGCTCTAACTCTGGTTGACAATAACTAATGAATAGCGATTTCGATCCTCACAGGGGATTAAAATTAAACTAAATCACCCAAAGATAAACGTGTTACAAAATTCAATATAAATGGGACAAAAGTGACGATGACACCAACATAGAGCATAGTAACAAATGCAAATGGTTGAAAAACTTAGTATTTAAGTGATTAGTGACTACGTAGTGATTGCGAGAGCGTGATTTGATAAAACTACTCTGTGAAAGGTTGAAAACGATATAAGGACGCAATATGAGAACGGGTAAAAAAAGGAACGTACAGAAGAAGTCATAAGAAGCGGCGAAAGCGTTATGTGTACTTTGGGGTCTCGAAGTGCATCTGTGCGAACGAAGCGAAGGCTGATTGCGAATATTAGCGGCATAACGTTGCGAAAAACGGGTCGCAGTCGCCGACGGAGAGTAAGACCCCGAGGTGGCCGACACGGGTGGCCAGCGACGCACGATGCCCAATATCGGGAAACGGGGTGACGACGACGATGAGGAGGAAGAAGAAGAGGAAACGGGAGGCCCTAAAAGCTTTTCACACTTGTCGATCTCGACGTCAGTGTACGCAGATGCAGAGTCTTTAGTAAGGGTGGCGTGAAGCGAAGAACGGAAGTCGGTTTTGGGAACGGCGTAATTGAGATAACGAGATGTAGCGGATGTAGTGGTGGTGGTGTATGAAGATTTAGATGACGTCCAGCAACGTGAAGGGATACCTGATCTACTGGGCGAACCGGGGACACTAGCAGTCTTGTTAGTGCCCGTCCGGCCAGGAAAGGTCGCGTGGAGCAACCACGAGGTATGGTGGTTTCCTGTGGCTCCATGCTGACCACCTGCCACTCCACAACTGCCCACCTCTTCCGATTGACCAGTGGTCCGTAAGTTTACGTTGTGTTTGCCGTAGGGTTCCAGCGTACCTCCTCCGCTGTCCATATCTAGATTAAGACGTTTGTCTAAATCGTTCATGAGTGACGTCTCCGCTGTGATGTCTAGACGAAGGTTTGAAGCCGTTTTGGGAAGGTGAAACTCTGTTGAGGAAATGGATAAAGAAAGAAAGAATTCATAGAATCAGAAAGAGAGAAAGCGAGCAAGAAAAAGAAAAAGAAAAAAAAACATAAAGATCCCCACGTAAAAGCAAAAAAAAAAAGACAAAAAAATAGACAAGTTTTAAAGAAAGCAATGAATTAGGTAGGGACATCAAATAAAGGCGTAGAGTGTAGATACTTACAAAGCAAAATCTGGGACAAGGTCAACAGAAAAAGAGTCCAATCATTATCAAACACTTTGTTTAAAATGCAATGATACTAATATTCACACTATCGTAGTCATTATACTCTTCTTAGTTGGCAAATGAAAGTCTGGTATAGGGCCACTTAAATAGAGCTCCAACAATCATTGCAAGGTGAGTATTTTATCGTTCATTGTACCATCATTCTATTAGGTTGAGTAATAAATAATTTCTGTGTTTCTTGTTTATCAACTTAAAAAAAATAAAGCACAAAGCAAATGCTGATTGCGAATATTAGCGACAAAACATTGCGAAAAATGGGTCGCCCCGTCAGGTTTCACTATCTGCCCATAGCTGGGACCCTAACAGGAATAAATCCCCGTGTTAGGGTGGATCTGGGAACAACAGCAATTAAGAGGTGGTTCCACGCTCCTGAAAACCTCCAATGTCCCGATCAGAGGCCTTGCTGCCGGATGTAGTTTATCGTCATACCCAGGACTACTATGATTAGTAACGATTTGACATTAAAATTTGTACCCCAAAATGACATCCTTTGTAAGACTTTGGTCGTCGTATTTCTTAGCATATGTGGCCTTATGTTGCCAAGGAAGACAACAATATTTTTCTTGCTGATGAAAGCAGGACGCTTTCCAATTAACCTTTATGATTGCTGGTATCGAAATCAATAAAGCACATTTAAAGTTTCATTACATAAATGAATAATACCCAACGATTGGGGTGGGGTCGGGTGTTGTAGACTAATCTCGTTCAACCCCATGTTATACATTGGCGTAAGTTAATGGACTCCAGATAAATTCTTAACCGCCACCTCTGATTATTAGTTGGGAAGACACATTCGTCACACAATTGGTTCCCCCCAAAAGAAAAATACTTATGACTCAAGCTACTATTATTTTACTAGGTAAATAAAAGTCTTATATGTATCTTTGTGTCTGTGCTTATCGTTTGTCATATTAAATCCAATGTCATTTATTCGAATCTCCAGAATTAAATAACGAGTTCTTAAAGGTCTGGAGGCACGGTGGAGTAATGGATAGTGGCTTGATTGAGGAATCGGAGAACCGAGTTCGAATTCCAGATGAATCCATTACATTTCCTTACGTGCTAATACCTTTGGGAAAGGTATGAATTCTCTTCTTCAACCCCAGCTATGGATAAATAGTAGGACAGATTGGGTTCTATAGCCTTGGATGGCAACTAATCTACCGCAGAAAGAAATGGCAACCTACTGCGGGAAAAATCTGCCGCGTCAGTCATGTATCAAAAGATACATGATCGCCTACGCATGTATCACGCATGGCACATAACTGACTTAATGATTATATTTTTTTTGTGTTAATATTGCTTAAAATAAAATCTAGTACAAAATATATCCTCCCGTGTGGGTGCTCTCCTGCTCTCTTTCTGTCTTGACCTTTTAATATTAAAGGTCAGTTGTTAAATATCCACATTATTCTCATCATATTTTCTCTAACATCTTATTCATTCATATCAAACACGTCAGACACTTCAAGAAAACCATTACAACTGAGTAGTGAGTTCAATCCTCATTGGGTGCCCCATGCTTTCGGACTTGTGCTACATCTAAGCTGTGCTTAGAAAATCATTTGAATTTGGGCACGTGGTGTAATTGTTAGCAAGCATGTCTTGTTAGATCTTTTTAGAGTAGTGAATTTGAACCTCACTGGGTGCTCCACACTTTCGGCCTTGTGTCACATCTAAGCTACGCTTAGAAAATGTTTTGGGAACCTCGGCGTAGTGTAATGGTTAGCAAGCTTGTCTCGATAGATCAGTTACAACTGAAAAGTGAGTTCGATCCTCACTAGGTGCCCCATACTTTAGGCTTTGTGCCACATCTAAGCTACGCTTATAAAATGACCATATCAGGCACGTCATTCATCATAACAGTTTCGACTTACTACCTTGAGTGGCTTTCGAAACCTGTACTGGTAAAATTTAGTAAAGGAAAAATGTTGTCTGTTAATAAATTACTTCCGACTGAACTAAAGCTGATTTTTCTTGTGTTACCCTTTTTTTTCGGCAATGCGTAAAAAAATAACGCGACCTTCTTTTTCATGGCTCTCCACAGTTTTTCTTCTATCAATCTTAAAACCTTTTTCTAGTCACTATTCAATTTCACATCCATTTGCACAAGTTCATTTGGTGGGTTATTCACGTTCTTCAATCCCTTTAGGCTTCAATATGTCCGGGGTCAAATTCTCCAAGCTTCCTTTTCTCAGTGTGTGCCCGAGAAATTTCAACGCTTCCTTTCTGATTCTAGAGGTAAATGTCCTTTTAGTTTTTATTTTCCTCAAAACTTCCTTGTTACTCACATGTTCAGTTCAAGGTATTCTCAGCATCCTTCTGTAGAACCATATTGCGGTGTAATGGGGTCGATGTTGGGTATTTTAATGTAATGTGTTACATGTATGTGTAGTTGGTAGAGGATTTCTTTTCTCTTTTTTATACTGAAAATGAAACGAATAAAACGTACAACAATAATATACAACAATAAGACCTTGAGATATATGTTGAAATTAATGACAATAATGTGTATTTTTCTTTTTGTGATGTTATTTACAGAATCAGCTTTTTGGGTGTTAAATGTTCCCAGGGTTTCTTAAAAATTTGGGTTTACTTGTTTATAATTGTTCCGAGAATTTCGTCGGTAGGTGAAGCATTTGAAACCGTCAACTTTGGATTTTCACGGAGCGAAGAAGATACGTCTGCGTTTTTCGTTTTACTACTGCTACCTTTGCTTGTGGAGGAAAGGTCGCTTTTATAATGTAGTTTCATATCTTTATTTCAGAATGATGAAATGTCATCATCATCATGAAACTGTTGCCTTAAGTCTTTTTTTTTTTATTTAAGAGGAGATTTTTCAGCATTCAATGCCATATAGAAGGATCGATAGTACATAAAAGTTTAGGTGTCTTTTCTTTGCTTCTAACGAAAATTTCCTTTTTCTTAATAGTCTATTCAGCTTTTGGAAGGCATCTTTCGCTATTCCAAAACACTTCTCAGATATTTAAATTTTCATATTTGTTGGATTTTGGTATTTCCAATTCGTAGTACGCAACTTGTGTTATTTCCCCTTTCTTATAAGTACACCCCCCACTTCTTCACCAAGACATCAGAACAAAGATATATGTATTCGTGTGCATTGTTACCTTTAAACCGAAGTCTTTCACTGCGTCTCCGGCACCACAGGAGAAGTGCTACGGCGGCAATTAAGATGACCACTATACCGGTGCATAAGGGTAACATGACGTAGATCTTCTCATAAAATTTCCCCTCCTTACGATGGACGACGAACAGCGGCAAAATGGTGCCTGGAACCAAACGAACAAATAAAAGATGAAGATGTCAATCGGTTCAAAAAAAAAAAAAAAGAAAAAAAAGAAGAAAAGACGTATCCACCAGGAACATTCTTATTTCATTCCGATTAGTATGAATTAAGGATTCCCCAAGTGGATTATTCTAAGAATAATTCGACCGGGTGGATTATTGTAAGATTATTCTAACATTATTATTATTCTAAGATTATTATTCCATTATATTAAGAATATTCTTATTCTATCATTCTAAGAATATTATGATTCTATCATTCTAAGAATATTATGATTCTATTATTCTAAGATTATTATTTTATTATTCCAAGATTATTCTATTATTCTAAGTTAATTATTGTATTTTTCAATTATTATTATTCTATTATTTAAGATTATTATGATTTTATTATTTTAAGATTATTATTATTCTATTATTTTAAGATTATTATTATTATTATTCTATCATTCTTAGATTATTACTATTCTATTATTTGAGATTACTATTATTCTAAATTATTATTTTTTCATTATAAGATTATTATTATTCTAATATTCTAAGATTACTATTATTCTAAGATTATTATTCTATGTTTATTATTATTATTATTAGAAGATTATTATTATTATTATTAATATTATTATTATAATTATTATTATTATTATTATTCTAAGGTTATTCTATGAATAATCCACCTAGGAAAACTCGTATTCCCCCAGTTCTTTTATTAAATATTCAGAAAAATTACCTTATAAATTCTTTACTTCAACCACCGCTTTTATTAAATATTCTAAAAATTCCACTTTAGCCATCATTATTTCGTCTATGCCTTTTATTAAATATTCATAAAATATCATCCCGACCCTTAAATAAATTGCAAAAATTATAAATAAATAATAAAAAAAACCCTAATCCGGCTATCCCTTTTATTCTAACAACCCCGTCTATTTGAAACTCAATATGTAGGCAGACAAAAATAAAACCTGTTTCACTTACTGCCAGTGTCAGTAAGAGTTCCAAATTTTAACAAACTGTCTGTTGATCCAGCCTCATTATGAGCTGTCATTTTCATGACGTACCAAGTTGCAGGGCGTAAATCCTGAACAGTAAAAGATGTCTGAAAGAAGAAGAAGAAAAAAAGAATTAAATAACAAGGAGGAATAACCAAAATCCAAAATTCATTTTTTAAACATCTTATTTATATTTTCATATATTTGATAAAATGGAAACGTTTAAAAAAATATTTATCGGGGACTCAAAACAAACAATTATTTTATATTTACGCTACTGAATTTTCTTGTCCCCTTTTGTCAAACTTCATCTCTACAAGAGGCAAATCAAACCAAAAACGGATTATGGCCTGGCGCTGATCAATCATCGCTTTTCCAACATTGATATAATTCAAAATCGTTTACTCATTCTTGTAAGCGATGCATTATTTTCCACTATACAGCCTCTTTCCCCACAGTCGCAATTTTGAAAACCCATCGCCACTCCATTGTTATTTCAATGCCAAATGTTTAGATGAATTCTATTCTTTAGATCTATCAGTTAAAACCTTTACAGATCGGACATGCTATGCTACCTACACGGAGTTTAATCATCATTATTTCCTCCGTATTCCAATAGTAAGGAAGAAGTTCCACTCGGACAGTTTTTCATCGAGGACAGCCACATCGTAGAACCGAATCCCATGTTAGTGCTTCCTTGAACACTATAAGTCAAGGATTAATCGGCTTCATAATTTTCACTTCTAACATCTCTTACGTTCATATCACACACTTCATTCATTAATACTCTACTATGAGTGCCTCTTGAGCCTTCTATTCGTATATGGTATTCTTTAGTATAGCAACGCGTCAGAGGTGCCTATCCGATCTTAGAAAAAAATTCTATTTTCAAAGTAGACTAGTTCATTGCACAGGGGTTCTTATATACATATATGCATGTTCTATAACTTTATTGGTTGTTATGATCATAAAGAATAATATATCTTGTTGTGTTTCGAGTAGTCGCTTGATTCAGTTCTTCAGAGTCCAACGGTAAAGAATAGTCTGCATCAATGCCAGACAATTTTCTTTTTATTACTCTTTATTTTATGATGGGCGGTAGTCGTACCCCCCACTTGTGTGTGTGTGAGTGAGGAGTGAGAGAGAGAGAGAGAGAGAGAGAGAGAGAGAGAGAGAGAGAGCCATCTTGACCCTTCTAATACTTGGAGCCTTCTTATCAAAAGTTAAACGAAGACAATCCATCACTGACAGAATTCCACGCCTGAGGTGTCCAAACAACCTCCATTCAGTTTGGGTCATCAGAGTTCTGACCGGTAAATTGCTATTCTGGGTCAGCCTACATATTTTTTAGCAATAGATATATATGGAGGAGTAATGGATTGCGGCTCGGTTTGAGGAATCGGAAAGACGAGTTCGAATTCCAGTCCAATCCATTATATTTAAATAAGTTTTTTGTGGCATAGAATTTAATAATACCTAGGAAAAAGCAAAATTTATAAGGCATTTTTTATTAAAAAAAAAAAAAAAAATAACCGGTTTCGTCCCAGGACTTATCAAGTTTATTTTTCTGGGAATAGAAAATTTATAAAAGCGTGTAAATTAAATTAACGAAATGGAATGAAATGGAAGAAAAAAAAAAAATGAATTTGAAGAAAATTAGAGTCCAATAACATTCAGACCCAGTAAGCATTCCCTCTGTTCACAAAGGGAAGGCCCACGGGATTTGATATACTAGGACTCTAGAAAGTTAAGGTGAAATGTGGAGTGGGACCTAGATAAAATCAAAAAACGGTCCACACTAAAATTTACCACACATTTCCTACTATTTCTTACATGCTCATCAATAGCAATATATATATATATATATATATATATATATATATATATATATATAAAATTCAATAACAAATAATAATGAACATGGATAATGCTTAAGAATAAAATATCTCACTCCCTCCACACAAAAAAATGCGTTTCTTACCATGTTTCCATCAACGTGATTCGATACTTCAACCCATTGTGTGTCGCCATATAATCGATATTTAACGGTGTAAAAATTAATTGGACACCCAGCTGAACTCCACGCTGTCAGGTCCAGTTTTATGGATGTCATATTGACGGACTGAACCAGTAAATCCTGAGGTGGCATCAGCGGTGCTAATGGTGTAAAAATCAGAAAGATAAGACAAAATTCAAAATCAAATCATAAAGAAGGTAACTCATGGAATTTTTGTATGTTTATATTGTTCTTGTCATGCCACACGAATAAGAAAAAAAGTGAAGAAATATCACTGCCGCTGGAAGGAGTTAGTGGTAGACATATAGCTACTTCAAGAAAGAAAAGTCAACAGCTGGATAAGAAATATTAGGAGAGGCTGTGTCAGAAGGTCGTTTAAATCAACCTTCAGAGTGTGCTATTAAGAGAACTAGATCAGCAACAGGTACATAGTGGGACTGAATTTCATCGGAATGACTGAGAATAGATTGGCAAATAGGTGCGGGTAAACGGATGAGGCGAATTAACAGAACGAAAGAATAAAAAATAAAGAATAGAAAAAGTGACGAAAATGGAACGAGAGGATACTGAAAAGTGACAGGGTGACTAATTCTATCAGACGGAGTCACTGACTGTGTGGTTTAAGTGGATTTTAGGGAAGAAATGGAACAAAATGACCTACATAGCAGGAGAATATCACGAAAGGTCTATCATTACGTATATTGAAAGAATTCTAGACTGACATCTGAATGGAAGGGATGGAAAAGTTGCAAACACATGTAAATATGTGTTTATATATATATATATATATATATATATATGTAAGAAAAAAAAAATTAAAACAGCATTTGTATATTCGGATTTTGTTTTTCCATATATTTTCTTCATACTGTCGGACCTATATCCATATATTTGCTATATATATATATATATATATATATATATATATATATATATTGAACAATAAAAATATTGAAAAATTAAAATCTTCAAACACACTGGGTTAATATTCTTTCGTTTTTATTATTATTTCATTTATATTCCTCGACTAGTTTTGGCTAACATGGCCATCATCAGGAGAAAAAATATTCTGCTCGCTGGTAGCTGTGAACTACAGAAATGGATGTCTTGATGGAGAAAATAAACTTTTGTCTGTAGTTTTCATTTGTTTTTTTTAAATTTTTTTTAACATGAATTTTCGTCAGTCCTTGTGTTGGTCTTTTGAGCTGTTATTTAAGATAAGAGCTGAATGGATTCATGCTGCTCTTTGATGAATTCACTTACATACATATATATATTTTATATTACATACATATATATATTTTTGAATTTGTAGGTCTGATGAATTGGATCGTATTTACGATTCCAATGGAATAAATTATGACCATGGAATATTAGTGTTTAAGCCTTTTATATATATATATATATATATATATATATATATATATATATATATATATATATATATATCAAATGTAATGTAAAAGAACGGAAAGAATAAAATTCAAAAATTCAAACGTTCATATCATCAATTTAAAAGAAGGGCTCAATACAAGAGTAAAGCAATAAATATTTATTAAAAACTGTTACATTAGAACATGCAAGTTACTACTAAAAAAACTGCATATTTTATTTCGACGTTTAAAACACGTCTCATCAGAAGAATAAAATGATGGTAATAAACGATAGGTGTTTATTACCATCATTGTCAACTCAATGATGAAAAGTATTTTAAACGTCGAAACAAAATATATGCAATTTTGTAGTAGTAACTTGCATGTTCTAATATAACAATATATATATATATATATATATATATATATATATATATATATATAATGAAACGGACTAAGTCCGACAATTATAGTAAAAGTATTAACAACATTTCCCAGCCTGAATCTCCGAAAAAATTCATAGAGAATATGTGCCCTCCGACAGGAATCGAACCTGTGCCCTACAACGGAACCGTTATATATAGCTAGGGAGAAAACGTCTGGTTTACGAGGTCGAATTACTGCTTTTAAATTACAAATTTATTATAAACAGAGCATTTACTTAAATATTTGTGTCTATATAAATAATGTATATATAATATATATATATATATATATATATATATATATATATATATAGTAGCGTCCAAAACTAAGGGACAAAATTTTAAAACCTAATATTTGTTAGAAATAACAACTGTGAAAAAGCTGAAATTTTGACAACTGGTAGTCGTTATCATCCATAATAACATACTAAAATTTGAATCATTTGTAAAGGATAGAAAAAGAATTATAACAATTATTTATTTATTTTCAAATTTGGAACGTCCAAAAGTAAGGGACAAAATTGAGAAAAACAATGTAAACAGCAAAAAAACAATAAAAATACATGTACAATCAATATTTACTAAATGAGCCCCTTGCTCAATGACAGCTGCACATCTTCGACTACAAGAACGAATCAGTTCTTGACAATCCTCGATACTAATTTTAGACCATTCTTCTTGAAGCTTCACCCACAAATCCTCCGTGTTAGTGGGATTTCTTTCCATAACTTTCACTCCTAAGGTATTCCAAAGATTTTCTATTGGATTTAAGTCAGGACTTTGCGGTGGCCAATCCATAATTTCCAAATCTTGCTCGCTAAGGTAACTCATTACCACCTTTTGCCTTTGTGACATGGGGCATTATCTTGCATAAAGGTAGCCCTATCGAAACCTGAATTCTATATGATTGGCACAGCATGATCTTGAACAATGTTTTATAGATCTGCGCGTTTACACGAGTTTGTAACCGGACAAGAGGCGTTGTACCTTGGCTAGAAAAAACATTTCAAATACCATGACGCTTCCGCCCCCAAACTTGACAGTTTTCTTAGTACACTTTGCACCAATCTTTCACCAATACGTCTCTTTACATTGTTTTTTACATCATTTCCAAATAAATTAAACTTGCTTTCATCACTGAAAATACTTTTGCCCAATTTTCATATGTCCAAATTATATACCTGTTTGCAAACTCTAATAACTCTTCTTCTTATTCTTCGAACTAACAAGTGGTTTCTTCCCTGGGGTTCGATTAAACAGCCCTATTTCTTGCAGTCGTCTACAAACAGTCTGTCTTGACACATTAACACATGAGGGGGTACTATTCATAACCCTTTTTTTAATTTCTGTGCAAGACTTAAAACGGTCCTTTAATGACATACGCTGCATTATTCGATCTTCTTTGCCGAAGTTTTGCGGGGTCTGCCGGTTTTAAAAGCACTAACTATTTTGCCAGTATCATTGTAGGATTTAACAACCCCGCTTGCCAACACTCTTGGAACGTTTCACTTTCTCTGAAATCTCTCTAATGGTGTGCTTTTCCTTGTGTAGCTTCACAATAGCTTGTCTCACAGAGTAATCAAGTTTTTGGCGTTTCGCCATGGTGCCGGCTGATGCAACGTTTACAAATGACTAAGTAAGACTTATTCTTTAGAGGAAATCAAAAAATTTGAATATAGCATATTGTTTACATTGTTTTTCTCAATTTTGTCCCTTTACTTTTTGGACGATCCTATTTTGAAAATAAATAAATAATTGTTATAATTCTTTTTCTATCCTTTGCAAATGATTCAAATTTTAGTATGTTATTATGGATGATAACGACTACCAGTTGTCAAAATTTCAGCTTTTCACAGTTGTTATTTCTAACAAATATTAGGTTTTAAAATTTTGTCCCTTAGTTTTGGACGCTACTGTATATATAAGATTTAAGAATGTAATAATTAGAAAGTAAAGCAGATATTCTCATATAGTGCTCAGTATTAAAAATACAGCATTGATAATATTATTTTTATATACAGAATAATTAAAATTAACTATTATAATTAAAGTACCAATATAATATAATATAACTAATTCAAACCACAAAACAAATATACTTGGAAGTAAAATTTACAATTGAAAAATTATTACGCTTATGAACGAACACGTAAACAAACACATGAACGTGCGCGTGTACACGACGAATTAAAAATAGATTTAAAAATAAAAATGCAAAAAGACAAAAGAAAAAAAAATAGAAAAATTGGAAATATATTTAAGCAACAAAACTTTGAAAATTTGGATGTTTTCACGAAACTTCGAAGGCGGGGTCATAACAACAAGGATTGATATGCACAATTACAGTTTAGTAATTATTCTTAAAATATATATATATATATATATATATATATATATATATATATATATATATATATATATATACTAAAAGTTATCAGCCTGACTAAGAATGGATTAGCCCTCAAGTCTTAAGTTTGGACAAATTTAGTGTAGAGAGTTATGGACATACTAAAATACATAGATAATATGGAAATATTAAAATGATAGATAGATAGATAGATAGATAGATAGATAGATAGATAAATAGATATGAACAGACTGAGATAGATAAAAACAGAACTAGCTCGATACATATTTACATAGATATATACATAGATTGATAGATACATATACAGAGATAGATAGATAGATAGATAGATAGATGAAGATAGGAAGAAAGAAAGATATAAGATAATGAATCAAGAAAAAGAAGAAGAAAAGAAACAAAGAAAGAAGGAAATAAAGAAAGAAGGAAAGAAAGAAAGAATGAAATAAAGAAAAACTGAATATTATCAAGCTGAATGAAACGATAATATTAATAAGAAATATCTGTGATAAATCCAGAAACAAATAAATAAAGAATTCTTTCTTACAGGAACCATTCGTCTTAGCAATGATCTGAGGACTGTCAGAACTGACTCCAATCACATTGAAAGAGTTCAGCAAAAACCGATATCCAGTACCACATTTAAGCCCCGTGAACGTGTGGGTACGGCTTTGACGGTCAGATTTAATGGTTTGCCATTCGCCATGTTCTTTCTTGAACTTCATATAGAAACCTAAAACAAAAATAAACGTTATATATATATATATTCATGCAGGTTTCATTAAATAATATAGACAAGTGTCGTCGAATTTTCGCTTGAAGATGGAACAGACCTTACTTTAACTCAATTTAATTCAAATAATTATATTGAAGTTTTCGGCTCTTGTTTTGAAACATGAGACCTCTTATGTCGCGAGTTGGAATCATATTTTTAAATAAATAATATATATATATATATATATATATATATATATATATATATATATATATATTAAATAAAAAACTGACCACTTTAAGTTTCCATGTAATAAATTATTTCACAACATGTAATAAATTATTTCACCACCACATAAGTTAACCATTTAAATGTGTGAATATCTGCTAAATCACTCATGTCTTCTCTCTCCCCCTCACTTCCTCACTTCGTTAATTTACATATGTTTAATACGGCCCGTCAAAAATGTGTAAATTTTCTTTTCATTTTTTGTTTGGAAGTAAAGTCTGATGATCCGCAGTCCTTTAAAAGGGCTGTGGTGAAATAATTTATTACATGAAACCTTAAAGTGGTCTGTTTTTATTTAAATTATTTGCTCTGGATTTACATTGAGCTCTCTGGGTTTTATCCTCCTTAGGTTTACCCACACGGATTACCTAGTTTTTCATAAACTATATATATATATATATATATATATATATATATATATATATATATATATATTTTTTTTTTTTTAAATATGTCTTCATCGACAAAGAAATAATTAAACTTAAAATTCAGAGCTCAGTTCCATTCTCAAGCGATGCTAAGAATAACTTACGAAAAAAATTGGATCGAGTATTGTTTTTAAAAATAAAAATAATTACTAAAGAACTCTGGGTTATAAATCTGACTGTTCTTTCCTATTATATGAATACATATTAGTTATAGTAAATGCTAAGTTTTATAAAATGTGTCCAGTATTCTGTTGCGAAACGTAAGATTATAAAATATAAAAAATACCTTATCTCCTCGATAATCAGGGATCATCAGGCCAGGTTGTTATATTTATCTCGAGTTAATCAAGAGTTACATTCATGACACAATTTCTGTACTAACATTTCTCTTTTGAGCTTTAAATCGAGGTGATTGAAAATACGTACCTTTAATTGGACTGCCACCATTTCTGCGAGATTTCCAGTTTATTTGAATTGTGGACGATGTCGTCGATGCAAGCATTACAAATGGCGGACTCGGCGGACCTTCCAGAGAAATCACGACAACAGTATAATAATAATAATAATAATAATAATAATAATAATAATGAAATGTAGCCATAACAACACACCACTACCTGCCTTAGGTCTCCCCGCAGATTTGGTAGGTGGTGTGACCATAGCAGAAATTAAAGTATAAAAATAATAATAATAATAATAATAATAATTAAATATGGAAGATATGAAAGAAAAGAAAATTCTTCTTGGAAGCAAAAATATATTTGGAATTCGGAAAAATACAGGCGGATGTCAGCTTTTCTTTTTTCTTTTGTTTATGTGATTAAATATTCTAAACATAGTCTGGCATAGGGCCACACACGTGGAGCACCAAATGAATTAATTTAATCAGTATTTAATACATAGTGTAGCATCGAATGAAGATATTTTCTTAGATTAGTTTTAGGCTTACGGCCACATCACGTTGAAACACTGATTTCAGTACGATCATCGAAGTTAAACAACGTCGACCCTGTTTAGTATCTAGATGGGTGACCGCCGTGGAATACCACGTACTGTAAGCTTATATGTGCAGATGGTATAATTGATAATCGCTCGGAATTGTTAATCGGAGTTCTAATTCCAGTTGGGTTCGTTATATTCACCTATGCGCCAATAACCTTGGGAAAGCTATCAATCCACCTCTTATCCCCACAGTTATGGGTTAAATAGTAAGATTTTTATCACTAAATCATTATTATCTCTCACCCTACCAAATATTCTTACAATCTAAAAAATATTTTTTTCTAGCTAAAAATAAGCTGCAAAGGGTTGATAAAAAAGAATCAAAAAACGAATCAATCAATCAGGACAGGTTTATCTATATGTGCAGGTAGCATAACGGTCATCGACGCTAAGAGTAGAATCAGCGTGTCGTTCAAATTCTGGCTTTTCTTTCACTTCACACTGGTATCATTGAAAAGAGCATGGACCCATCTTCCCCCTGCAGGGTAAACTGGATTTTCTTCACTTAAGTGACAGCCGGTTGTGGAGAAGATGAACTCGGAATTCAAGTAAGTGATAGGTCAGACTGGGCTCTAAGACTTGGTAACCTATTCAGGAGAAAGTATCTTGCCCTAGACACATCTACGACTGTCGTAAAAGCGGGGCCGCAATAATCCTCATAGTTTACGGGACCCATGATCATCAGCTATGCTTATCTGGTACAAGGCTATAATAGTTGAGCACGGAAGGGAATTAGATTCGTCTCATATGAAATTGAAGTGGGATTATTTTCTGTAATGACGCATCCTAAACCTATATTGGCGCAAGACTACAAATATGGGGTACTCACTGAAGATGGAGTTACCCTAGTTATGATGATCTCAGCATTCACTTTCTCACTAATGCCCTTAGAAAAGGCATGGATTAATTTATTCTTTTCATCCCCATCCTAGCTGTTGATTTTAACCAACATCTAATCAACGAGCGTAAGGCGAGAAGAAATATCTTCATTCTATTTAAAGCAGACCACATTGGGCATTGGCTGGCAACCATGCTAGAAAAAGGTCTACTCTGATCTTAAAAACATGTAGAAGACAATGGCGAACTACTTCATTATCTTTACCAAGAAGTCACGGAAATGGGGAGGCACTTCGATGTGGTGTAATGGTTAACAAGCTTGTCTAGCTAGATCACTTACGACTGAATAGTGACCTCGAAACTCACTGGGTGCCCCGTATTTTCGGTATTGTGCCACATCGAATCTACGATTAGAAAATCACCTTGGGGGCACTTCGACGTGGCGTAATTGTTAGCAAGCTTGTCTCTCTAGGTCAATTATGACTGAGTAGTGAATTCGACCTTCGCATGGTGCTCCACACCTCCGGCCTTGTGCCGCATCTTATCTACGCTTAGAAAATCATTTACGACTGAATAGTGGGTTCGATTCTCACTAGGTGCTCCATGTTTTTGGTCTTGTGCCACATTTAAGCTACGCTTAGAAAATCATGTTATCTTATCTCAGTTTAGTGTAATGGTTAGCCAAGTTGTCTCGTGAGATCGATTGGGTAGTGAGTTCGAACCTCACTGGGTGCCCTGTACTTTGGGGCTTGTATCACATCTAAGCTACGCTTAGAAAGTCATATTTTGCCACAATTGCTGTATTTTCGAGCAATAAATCTCGAGTACAATTGTCCTGGGAGGACAGGATATTTAAAAAAAAAAAAAAAAAGAAGATCTTCGATATAGATCGGTTTCACTCTTTGTTTGGGGTTGCCAAAGTGGATATTTGCGCTTGACTCACAGATACGTCGCACTATAATCTGAGGACTTACGTGGTCCCCTTTTAACGTAAATATAATTAATATTTGTTAAATATTTTCAAATATTCACCCTTTTCTCAAAACTTTGCTTAAATATATTAAAACATAAGAAAAGTGTTTGTTCGTTTAGATATAGTAATTAGACTTCATCAGGACTGAAAGCCCCAAATTTTTTCTTCGTCATCATCACTGTCAAACAAGAACTACATGTAAGGCAAAACTACATATAAGGAAAATGCGATGGAATATCTGAGAAGGGCCATAAATTAAATTACCTTATCAAATCTGACGATCAACAAACAGAAAATGGTTGTAATATATATATATATATATATATATATATATATATATATATATATATATATGTGTGTGTGTGTGTGTTGTGTGTGTGTCTGTGTGTGAATTGGGATCAAGTATGGGTCAAATATGGATTAGATTTCAAACATAATGACAGGATAAGGAACAAAGAGGGAAAGTTTATAGATTTATTAAGCTTCATCAACCTATTTGAACATTATCCTATCACATATACATACATACATATATATATATATATATATATATATATATATATATATATATATATATATATATATATATATATAGTGTTGTGTGTGTTTGTAGAAGAGTGTAATAAGTTGATACTACACCAATACAAGTACAAAAATGCAGCATGCATATCTCTGTCTGTTATCCATTCGTGTAAAAGTCAATTTTTCATTTTTTAAATTTTAATTGTTTTTTAAATAGACACTTCCACAATTAATATGTAAATCCAAACTTCCATCATTTTATTAGAGACCCGATTTATTGAAAATATATTCGTCGATATCATTTATTGATGAATAAAAAATTAATAAAGTTGTGTAGTAATTCAAATATTATTTTCAAATATTATTTTCAAATATTATTTTTTAAAAGATATGTTCGTCTAAAACAAAATTTATGCTAAAATATTCCATCTTGATATGCCATATTATTAAATAATCAGAAATATATATATATATATATATATATATATATATATAAAAGTGAACATAGAAGTCAACACTTAGAGGCGACAGTCTGTTTCATGCTATATGCAATCGTCAGGACACACGTGGCCAGACGATTGTTCACTTTTATATTTACACACGGTCTATCTCTGATATTGAGAACTTTTTTCCATAAATATAGCACACCTTAAGACTATATTTCTTTATATATATATATATATATATATATATATATATATATATATATATATATATATATATATATATATAATGGCCCGTTCCACTGTACAAAATCTTACTAATAACTTAGAATGCGTCACATCTTAGACGTGCTAAAATCTTGTACTTTTTGTATTTTTTTAATTTTTTTTTTAATTTACTTTTTTTTAGGGAGGTTTCTTTTATTTTTAGTTAAAAATGTTTGCTTATTATTACTTTTAGTTAAAAGTACAAAATAAAAACGTGTTTTCAACTTTTAAACGTCTGGTCATTATATCTGGAAATAATCATCACTTAGTAGGTAATTTGTGTCAATCTATACCATCCGAGAGTGATCTTTAAAAACTCAGTCGACTTTTACACAGTATGAAAAGGAGATCAGAGATTTTTTTACATCCCCACTCCAACCAAAAATAAATTTGATCTTTACGCAAGATCGAATTTTACACCATTATATACAAGGTACGATGCATAAATTGTCGTCTTTACGCAAAAAAAAAGAAAAAGAAAAAAAAAGAAAAAGAAAATCACGCTGGCAACTCAATTTAACAAATATATTCACCAAAATTACAAAAAAATATTTCGAAATACTAAAAAGTAAATTTATTCAATAAAAACGCCATTGGTTTCAACGATGGCCTTTAGATGACTTTGGAATCTCCTGCAACTCTTCTGAGAGATGTCGTTGTTTAAGTTGGTGAATGCTGCCATAATCCTTGTCTTCAGTTCATCTTTGATGTTACAAGGATTTTTCTTTGCCTATCGCTCAACAACACCTCACACATATTAATCAAGGCGGTTGCAGTCTGGGGAGATAGGTTGCCGGATGCGGTCACAGAAATGGTCTCACAGTCATTACTGGATTCCCCTGCTAGTGTGGCGTGGTGCAGTTCTATTGCCAGACACAGGGTCTTCCAACAGCCACATTCTTGACCTAGGGAAGCATTATCGTCTCAAGGCACTTGATATGAGTCTGAGTCTCTGTGGAAAGATTAATGGCGACATAATGTCACTCGCACTAGTGATCACTATAAACACCCTTATGTTGACAGTATATATCATCCAAATCTTTCCGTGTCCCCTGCACTGTCCAGCAAACACCCTGAAATATTCGTACTGGAGATTCCAGCGCAAATGCCAAGCAGTATAACATGCCGTTTCCAAATTTGTGATGGAATGAATTGCGTCATGGTGTTCTTTTTCTCGCAGACGGTGCCCAACTGACCCTACTATACTGAGCTATCGAGAAAATCAAAAACAAACAACGCGCATGCGCGAAAGTAAAAATATAAAATAGCGACAATTTACCCATCGTACCCTGTACCTCGTATAAGAAAAAAATATAGCCAAAACAAACCAAAGCGAATTTAAGACAGAAATAAAGACAAGCAACATAATCACTTAGGGGAGACAAATATTGATAACAACATGGGAGGTAAATGTTGATAAGAAAAGAGAAGATAAATGCAAATACCAAAATTACTCACTTGGACGTTTTTCCTTTACTGAGTGCATGAAAAAGAAAAAATTGTATCGTCTATAAAAGACCTTATACAGCTCATAATTATTAAAAACAAGGATCATAACATTCATCGAGTGATTTATAGGTTAATGAAACTTTAAAATTTTGTTCACGAAGAGATTTCGCCATTTTATATCATTAACTTTACTAAGCTACTTTTTGTATGAATGATTCATTGTAAAATAAATTGAACTGCACCACATAATTGATTTAAAAGAACTGATCCGACGTTCAAATTTTCGGGATAACAACTGAGACATTACTCTAAATCCTACTGGAAGTATGAAAATGCAGTTGAAAATCAAACGATTCAATAAAGACGACAGATAAGATACTACAATTAAGCTTTTTATTTAATTTTTCTTGTGTTCGAACAAGATTTTTTTTTTCTGGACACAGAATATCTAAAACATTTGGACAGTTTCTACACACTCTGTGTCCAGAAAAGAAAACACTTGTTCGAACACAAGAAAAATTAAACAAAAAACTTAATCGCAGTACCTTGTGTCGTCTTTAATGAAACATGTATAAATAAAGGATTGCTGCCTAAATACACAATATATATATATATATATATATATATATATATATATATATATATATATATATAACATTGAACATTGAAGTCAACACTTAGAGGCGACAGACTGTTTCATACTAGATGCAATCATCAGGCCACATGTGGCCTGTGTATTGCGTCTAACATTTCCTAATCCTAGTGAGCTAAGAACTACCTACCTAGGTTTCACCTAAATTGATTTTCAGGGTAAGCTGGCTTAACCTGAAGATCCATCTAGATGAATCCAAGTAAGGAAGAGGAAGATCCTTTTAGGTGAAACCTGGCTCTCTAGGATTTTTTATACTCTGCTCTCCTGAGTCTATTGAACACTTTACGTTTTTTCTTATTTTACTCGATTGTTTTTTTTTTTTTTTTTCGTTAGACTAGAAATTAAGACACTGGATGATTTTTTCGGCGTACTCGGATGTTTTTAGACCTTTTTTCCCAAATTTTTTCCCAGATACCAATTTGTCTCAATATATTTTTATTTACAAATAATACTATCCAGGTTTTTTTCACACCAGTCTAGTAAAGACATTAACAATATATATATATATATATATATATATATATATATATATATATATATATATATATATATGGAGAGAGATACATACATACATACATACAGAAAAATATATATATATATATATATATATATATATATATATATATATATATATCATATTTCAAAAATCTATGCTGGCAGCAAACTGTCTGCGTACGGACAGAAAATGAGTTCTGCATATATACAAAAATAGAAAGGGGTGTAAGACAAGGATGAGTCTTCTCACCGGACTCATACAGTGAGGCAATTCTGAGAGAACAAGAAACCTTACCAGGGTTCCTCATTGGCGGTCACAATTTTAACAATATAAGATATGCAGATGACATAGTGCTGATAGCAGACATGGAAAGGAAACTGTAAAATCTCCTACAGAAGGGCTTGGAAAATCTGATACTCACAGGACAGATTAAGGCCAAGAGAGACAGAGGAAAACAACGCATAGCATTATTAAGAGATACAAAGCACAGGAAATTGTGGAGAGCCATGATCGTCTATGTTCTGAGGGGACCCAACACATAAAAGAGAATATGAAAAATAAAAGACTTCAACATTAACACAATCCCCAAAGTATTGATATGTCGCAAATTCCACACATTTATTTATGTTACCCGAATATCATTGGATGGGGTGATTTCTTTTCGTTACGTTCTGCATTTTAAGAAACTTATGTATTATAGCACCTACCTTTGACACTGACGGCAATGATGATTTCGTCTGTTCCATATTTATTCTCGGCTCGGCACGTGTAGTTAGCAGCGTCAGAGGTTTGTACATGTTCAAACTTTAATGAACCGGACTGCAAAATATGAACCCTTTTGTTTGATAACAGGGATTTATCTCTGGAAGTTCATAAAAAGAAAACAATACGTTTAATGATATTAAATATTACAATATATTAGGTGTGTGCAAAAGTTTTCAGAAATTTTCTAACTTTTTTTTTTGAAAACTAGAAACTAAGTATTTTTTTTAGCGTACGAATTATGCAACACTTTTAAGGGCGTAGGATTTACAAAGAATTATGTAACACTTTTAAGGACGTAGGATTTACAAAGAATTATGTAACACTTTTAAGGACGTAGGATTTACAAAGAATTATGTAACACTTTTAAGGACGTAGGATTTACAAAGAATTATGTAACACTTTTAAGGGCGTAGGATTTACAAAAATTATGTAACACTTTTAAGGACGTAGGATTTACAAAGAATTATGTAACTCTTTTAAGGACATAGGATTTACAAAGAATTATGTAACACTTTTAAGGACGTAGAATTTACAAAAAATTATGTAACACTTTTAAGGACGTAGTAAATAAAAAAATATTTTTGATTTGAACAAACCGATGCTAGGGAAAAAATTCAGTAAAAAATAAAAAGACGAAAGACATCTGTGTTGGTCGAAAATAATCGATCAGCCCTGCAAAGCATTGTCAAAGAAAAAACACTGTAAATTAAGTAAAAATGAATGTAAAAGTGCTCAATATACTAAAAAGTGCAAAATCCAGTCGTACACTGAATATCCGTTAGTTGAAACGTAGGTTCTGGCTCACTAGGTTTATATTTATATATATATATATTTTTTTTTCCTTACCGGTGGAAGGAGTATATTGTAAAACTCCGAGTCGTGATATTAGTGAAGAAAAATGTATATTTATTAATATCCAAGTACACGGTTGGTACTCATGGAATAAAATTTCAAAAACCAAAAAAAAAAACTATTCTTAAAAGAATACCGAGTACAGCTAGTAATTAATCCAACATCATCACTTGATAAGACTCTAGATTTTGTCGAAACAAAATTACAACTTTGTAGCGATTTTATAACATGCATATGTTATAAATTTGAATAAATATTTATTAATATATAGTTTTTATCTCCGTTACATTGCATAAATCACTATTTTATTAACATCAGCACTCAGTGTTGCGATATATATATATATATATATATATATATATATATATATATATATATATGAAATGAGAACGAATCGAATCCAGTTCCAACGTTCGTAACATTCAATTTAAGAGAGAGCTCAATACAATAATAATAGAGCAATATTCTTTATTCTAGGATATCACATCACAAACAAGTAAAAAAAGACGTACACAAGTGCAATGATGTTTCGATGTATATTTAACACATTTCATCAGGCGCTAGTATATATATATATATATATATATATATATATATATATCAATCGTATATATATATATATATATATGTCAGTCGTCTTTCATTATATATATATATATATATATATATATATATATATATATATATATATATATATATATATATAAATGAAAGACGACTGACAAGGTAGTGTGATTATGCTTTTTATTCAATTTTATTGTGTTTGTATACGTGTTTAGAAAACCTACTAATTTGAGATATCTAGCCGATAGACCAGTGTCATCAGCAAAATAGTTTTATTCCATAAATGAAAAAAAATCTAAATTTACGATAAATTCATTGTAATTATTGGTTCTTAGCCGTCTTGTATCGTCCAAGAAATTTGATTAAATAAATAAAAATAAAAACTGAGCTGAAATTAAAAATCTATTTTTTTATAAAGATTTAGATAACTAGGTTTGAGGATAAATTTTATTTATTTGACATAAAAGGTTACCTTATCTTCCAGGAAAATACAGGCGCCGGCATTCCAATGGCACCACATTTAAGAATGGTCGATTCTTTCCAATAAAGAATTCTTTTACCAGAAAAGTTAAGAATGCGTGCAGGAACTGAAAAGAAACAGAAGAAATATTATTTTTATTGGACAACGATTAAATATCTTTTGGTTTTGTCTTCGTCATAGAAAGCGACAGTATGATTTGACTGGCAAGAGAATAAAATGAGGAATATGTTGTAAATTTGACTTCCTTATAGAAGAGAAGTTGTATGAATAGCAGCCAGAAGCAGCGGTAGAAAATGGCCATCATCACTAGATATAGGATTTCTTTGCCCAGACAGATCATTGGACTACGGTTTGATTGATTTTTTTTACGGCTTATTAATACTTTGCAGGTGGGGACTTCGACGCGGTGTAATTGTTAGCGAGATTATCTCGCTAGATTAATAAAAACTAAGTAGTGACTTCGTTCCTCACTGGCAGCTCGCCACATTCGACTTTGTGCCACATCTAAGTAATGCTTAGAAAATGTGGTCCAATATCTGAATCGCTAGATCAATTACGATTGAGTAGTGAGTTCGTAAGGCACTTGGTGCTCCACACTTTCGCCCTTGTGCTACATCTAAGCTAAACTTAGAAAATAGTAGAGCACTTTGATGTGGTGCAATGTTTAGCAAGTTTGTTTCGCTAGATCAATTTCGACTGAGTAGTCTGTTCCTTACTTACTGGGTGCTCCACACTTTTCGCCTTGTGCCATATCAAGTCACGCTTAGAAAATCATTAGCGCAGCTCGACGTGGTGAATTGGTTGGAAAGCTTCTCCCTAGAATAACTACAACTGTGTCGTGAGTTCGACCCTCACTGGGTACCCCCATACATTCGTCCTTGTGACGCATCTCAATTACGCTTAGAAAATCACCATCTGCATTTTGCAAGTGATTCAAAGCCATAAAATATTTTAGATCGTAAATTTTTTGTAGTTAATAATGATTTACTGATGCAAGTTTGACTAATTAACCCAGTGCTGGATTCATACCTTTACTAAGGGTATTTATATGTAATATAATGAACCCGACTGGAACTAGAACATAGCTCTTCAAATTTTAATTGCGAGCCCTAATCATTACAGCACGCGTACATCCAAGCTTACAGCGCCCGGTATTCAGAAATCGTCACCCATCAAGGCACTGACCAGGCTGGACGTTGCTTAACTTTAGTGACTGTACGAGAAACATGATGTGACCACTAGATTACAGAGAATATAATGAAAGACAGATTACTGGAATTGCTGTGTTCCGTATAATGCAAGTGTGGAAAACAAAGAAACTGAAAAGACTGAAAAATAGCAGGAACGAGTTAGCGAATTGGAGAAGCTATGGAAGATGAGTGTTGAATTAATTCGTGTAATGAGTGCACTCCGAACCAGAAACTTGAAAAAGTGCTTCGGGAAAATTGGGATTGAGATCAATATTGTAGACCTTTTGAAAACTGTTATACTTTAATCTGCGAGGATTCTTCGAAAAGTTCTTGAGTTGCGAGGATTTAATAATAATAATAATGATAATAATAATAAGAAAGATTGATAATACTGGGGTCTGAGCCGAAGATCCTGTGTGTGTATATCTACTTAGTGTAGTAATGGGCTCACTTGGAACTCCACTTACAAATCTGAAGAAAAAAAAATGCTTAAGAGGATTTGGAATTGAGCGTAAGTTTGTAAACCCACAGCCAACTGCTATCCTTTAGTCTGCGAGGATTCTCCGAAATGTTCTTGAGTTGTGAGGATTTTTGTTGACCCTATGCCTCACGTACAGAATGGCCACTGATATCGGCGAAACGCGTCGTTTATAAGCTTTTGCCAATTTGTAACATCGACTACATATTTATTTCAAATATTATTGAATAATATAATATATCCTACAAACATGTATATATATCTATACATAGGTAGATATCGTTAAGCTTGCAGTGGGGTTCTAAAACTAATTTCTTGCTTAAATGGGCATTATTTATAATGTATTGGCAGGGCGTAACGGTCGTGCGCGAACTAACGAATAGAGGGACAAGCACAATTATAAGAAGATAAACGCTTTGTGTTCAGTGGGAATTGGAAAAGGTAAAAAAAATAATAGGATCTGGCTAAGGAGCTGAGGAAGCCATATAAACATGAATATAGAACTAATTCCTGTAGTAATGGCTGTGCTTGAAATACCGGCTAGACAACTGAAAAAACGCGAGAATTGAATTGTCGAGCTCAAGGAAATTGCCATCATTTACCCGGCGAGGATTTTCTGAAAAGTTCTTGACTTAGGAGGAGTTATGTTGGCACTATGCCTCCAAAACAGAATGCTCAGTGACTACGCCAATGCGCTTCACCAATTTAATAATAATAAAACTCACATACTAGGGATGGCTTTATCTATGTAAAATTTGTATGCATTTCTAAACTTCCTATCTCGGCTTCAGTGATTTTCCCCGTCGCTGTAATGTATCTTCCGTGTGCCTTTCCTATAAATATTTTCATAGTAATTATTCTGATGATACCACGATTTTATGGATTTAAGCGCAGTACTAGATTGGCAGTTAGGTCTCATCAATTACTTCCAACCATAAGTTCTAATCTAACAGTTTCGTCCCTCGCACTTCTCAGTTGTCGAGCTCTTTTCCGGCTTTTCGCTTTCCAGGCAACTTTGATCTTCAAAAACTGAAATGCAACGTCAAACTTCATTTTCTATTCTCCTTTAAACAAGTTCTTTTATGGGTCTCACACTTTGTAAGGTTTTTCTCAGATTCTTTTACTTTCAGTAACCCCCCCTTACGTCTTAGTCGCTTTATCACCTTGCCTGAAGTAAAATGGAAAAAAAAATGTTACAAATGTACAGTGGAAATTGTCATGATGCCATTTCTGGCCTTAGGCCTCTGGTTGGGACCCGAAATGAAGTGAATATAAATATTCAAAGGAAATAATAATAATAATAATAATAATAATAATAATAATAATAATAATAATAAAAATTTCAGGCAAATATCATAATAATAATAATCCAAAATGCAGGTTCTGTGACAAATACCAAGAAACAATAGACCATCTAATCTCAGGATGTTCTATACTTGCCCCAAATGAATATAAAAATCGTCACGATAGAGTGGGGCAATACTTACACTGGACAATGTGCAAACACTTTGGAAAATGTGTAAGCAAACACTGGTTTTGGTTTAGAAGATGTCAAAATTATACCATCCAACAGACAGAAAATTGAAGCAAATAGGCCGGACATTATTGTTCCAGAAAGAAAAAACTTGCCTACTAATTGATATGGCCCAGCGGATTGTAACATAGCAACCAAGGAATTTGAAAAACTATCAAAATACAAAGACCTGGAAATTGAAATAGAAAAAAAATGTGGAAATTGAAAACAAGAATAATACCAGTGGTAATAGGTTTTATAAAAAATGGAACAAAAACAACACATTGAAAAGAATCCCTGAAACCCCAGCTAAAGAGACATTTGTCTTATTAAGTACAGCACACACTTTTGTCTATGTAACGCTAGCAAAAAAAAAAAAAAAAAAAAAAAAAATTAACATGAAATGTTTTAACACACCACGACCTGCCTTAGGTCTTTCCCGCAGACTTGGTAGGTAATGTCCAAGCAGAAATCGAATGATGATGATGATGACAATAATAATAATAATAATAATTTTCTGTGATAGACATTTCCATATTTTGTTTAAAAATCTAAGGGAGGTAATTATGTTCAGAGTTATGTCCCTTATATTCGTTTTCGTTCCTGAATTTTAAAATAATTTTTAAGGTTGAAATAATAAACTATTTTGACTTTTAATAAAAACCGTTTTAACAGAGAATAATAAAAGTTTTTACAAGTATGGAAAAGATGAGTAATTGGTAATTGTAATTTTATCCTTTCAACTTAGCAAATTATTTTGATTCCGAAACTGTATTCTAGATAATATTGTTGTTATTTTATATCCACTGAATTATATATATATATATATATATATATATATATATATATATATATATATATATCAATTAACGAACGTCTGTTCGTTCACCTATCAATCAATCAATCTATCTATCTGTGTGTGTGTGCGTGTGTTCATGTTCAAATCTCTATCTCTCTCTCGCTATCTATCTTTTCAAATTTCGTTTTCCCTGTCTATCTGAGTCTGTTCATATCTATCTATCTATCTATCTATCTATCTATCTATCTATCTATCTATCTATCTATCTATCTTTTTCTTAATCTATTTCATTCTGTTCATACCTTTTTTTTTTAAATCGGTATCACCCCAAGCAAAGCAGCACAGCCACTAGCACACAAGGAATTACAGGGTGGAGAAGAAACATTAGTAATGAGGCGAAAAAGAAAAGAGTAATCAAGAGTACAGTAGATAGCGATTGGCATTGTATTTGAATTATTCCATATTAGAGTTGGCTAGAAAGCATGATACCGGAATACTGGATACAATCGAGAAGTGCGAGATAAGAAATTACGGCTTCATCTAGCTAGCTCAACTATAAATTGATGGGATATCGCCGCCAGTTTAGTATTGCTTTTAACTTCATATAGTCTAGGTAGCATATTGAAGAGTGATATTTATTATGATATATACACAGAAATGTGGCACAAGGCCAAATTGGGGATTGGAGAAAAGGACGGTCTTCTTCTGTCTTAATTACAACTTAGCTAGCCGCAAACACTGATCCAATCATACAAACATTATTTCTTACACCAAAACAAGACATTCTTACTTACCTTTCTTACTACATCCACCATAATACCTCATTGTCTCATGAAAATACTAACTAGTCCCCATATGTACAATTCATTGTCGGGGGGTAGGGTGGAGTTGAATAAAACAAGAATTCTAAAACTAGCCCCAGTGAGTATTTACAATATGAAACAAATCTATTTACAAGAAACTAAACAAAATAATGTTAGTAATAAAATCCCCCTACAATCACTAAATGTAGTAGAAATATCAGCTAACTGGCCGAAATGAATGCGGGATTATAATAATATGAAACATTCATCCATCCCAAGCACTGACACTGACACGCACTCATTCAAAAACAACAACAAATTTTTAAAACACTCACGCGAAACGAAAGGCGCCCCGCATCCACCAGTGAACTGACATCACATACCACCTATCGAGGGAGGGGATGGGGAATTAAACTAAAGAGAAATATGAACAAAAATAAAAGTGAAGAGCTCATACGAACAATTACCATGAAAGTATTTATAGAAAAGGCACAGAGAAGCAATCCTACGGCGGTGAGCAAGTGACTGAAGCCGAGCCTCCAGATCAAGACTAATAATATTGCTGATTCTTTGGATCTTATCAAGGCACCGGACCATATATGGCAGTAATAATATCTATCTATCTATCTATCTATCTATCTCAGTTTGTTCATATCTATCCATAATATATTTTCCGGCGTTTATGTTCAAAGTTGAACTGTATAGAAATATTAGTAATTCCAAGCTTTGCTGGTTAGGGGTGGTAGTATTTCCATGTTGCGGGTGCATTTAAAACAACCAACACGTTTCTTCCGTTTTCGAAGAAGATAAAATTGAGACTTGACCTCAACCGCTTTATTTAAAATGCTATAGTTTATTTTTAAATATATTTTACAATTAGATGCCTTTTTTATGGATATATAATTGTAAAAGATGTGTTTTAATACCGACAGTCCACATGGTGCTGTGCAAGCTATGAATGACTATAAATAATCACGTGCGTACCATCGGGTTTTCGCACGTTTAGTGGCCGCCCTCTTGTAAAAAGAAATCATCTATCTATCTATCTATCTATCTATCTATCTATCTATCTATCTATCTATCTATCTATCAAGAACAAAAAAGAAAACTGTATAGTGACGCGTTTGGTTCCAAGAAGAAATGATTCATACAAAATAAGGCCTTTATTAATAGAATCGATCTTATTTACAAAAAATCTAAAAAAAGGTATCTATGTTTTTGTTGTGGCTTTGTTGGGGCCAGAAATAAAGACACAAATAGGGGAATTGACTCAAACAAATATATTAACAGAAATTGTAATACAAACATATACAAACGAGTGTTACAGTAAGAATGTTCGGTCCAACTGTCAGAGCTGGTTGTTGGAAACTTCACCCTCCAAAAGGCAGTACCTGCTCCTATTTATAGCTGTGAGAGTCCATGCGTGCATGGGTTAATTACAATAACACTGTTGGAAACTACTATCTAAAAGGCAGTACCTGCTCTTATTTATAGCTGGGAGAGTCCATGCGTGCATGGGCAAATTACCATAACAGTTTGGGAGGACCTTTTAAAATCAATTCACCTCAGATAAGGCAATAAGGCCACTAAGATGTAAGGGGCTACTAAGAATGAAAGAGAATGAGAAGAATTTAGAAAGAACGCGAAACGCAGTCCTAAACAAGAAATAAACCTCTACTCTCATTCAAAAGACCGGGGAGCAATCACCAGTAACAGCTTTCATAGAAACCTTAAAAATACGGAGACGTTCCGCATTTAATTAAAGACTATTGACGTTCGATATGTCTAAGTGTTTAAGTTAGCAAGTTTGCATTCAACTTTCTATCGCTTTCGTTTTTATCTTTATTGATTTTGATTATCAATCATTGTATAAGTAGCAATTTTGTGAGGAAAGGTGATATTTTGATAGGATCCTGGGCGCAAATTTACTGTTAAGGATTCCGAAATTAGTGCAGCTTTAATACAATTTCGCTTCATTTTTTTTTCTGTCAAATCAAATCGTATTATTTAATGTCTTTTGAAAGGTCTAGACTAGATTCTTTATGCAAAAAAGGCTTACCCTTTGAAGAAGGAGTGGCTCTAACTGGCACTGTAGGTTCGCTTTCACCAGCAGATGTCATGGCATTGACGGTGAATATATACTCATTATCTTCCTGTAGTCGGCTGATCACATGGCTCGTTCGAATGACTTTCAGTTCGATTGTCCGGCTTTCTTTGTTCTGAAAACAAAAGCTCTTTTTAAGACAGATATTTAATAAAACTGTTTTTAATAACCTCATAACAAGAAAATATAAATATTTTGTTACGTTAATTTCCGACGTAGGGAAAACTCAAATTCAGCTTTCGATGTCTGCGTCCCCCCCCCCGTACCCGAAAGCCGATAGGCAGTGTATAATAGATATAAAGTCTAGTTTTGCATATTTAATTTCAGTGATTATGAGGAATTTAAAGAGTAAATCGCAAACATATAATATTAGAAAAAACTGATTTTGTATATAAAAAAAAAACTCAGGATCAGCCTTGCGCTGAGTTGGAACGACTAAAGAGAACGTTGCTTTATTTTATAGGTGGAGGTTTTGGGAGACACGTACGAACGATATGCGTTGGAAAGTGGAAAGAGAGTTAAGCCTTCATTGGACCAGCTTAGTATAAATCTTATGGAACTCTCCTGTCATTATAATCATTCCACCCCCACACCGACCTTGAGTCGGGAAGTTAGTAGCTTGCATACGTAACTATCCTGATGCATCTTAATGGTCAAAATCTCGGTGGTTTCTGAGTATTTTTTTCAGAATGTGTACCTTGATATGCTTGTCAAAATTACAGTCGATGGTAATAAAATATTTTACAAGCTCCGCTGATGCCACATTACTCTGTTTGACATACCTGTTGTCATCGAATCTTTTATCTAATCTTTTTCGTTATGCAACCCACATAATTTTCACCTTCTGCAGAAATCGTGATGTTGTTTTTTGAATCTGTGATAGAATTGACTTGACTCATATTGTTGCACAACGAACAGAGTTTTCACCTTAATATTTATATCATTAATAATTACTATTAATATCAATATTACTACTACTACTACTACTACTACTACTACTACTAACAATAATGATAAATATCCTGATGACCATTCATAGCTCTCATGGCTTATGATCTCAATAAATTGGAGTTGGTAATATTTATAGTCTTCGTGAATTGACCTACTGTAAATATCCTGTTTGGTACCACATATTTTCTTGTCATTTGCCTGGCCTTAACCAGGGGTCAACAAACTGTGTATATCTGTTCATGAGCCGGAGTAGTGGGATAACATTATTCCCGGATGTTGAAAGTATTATATTTTTTGTTTGAATGTTGACAGAGCTAAGAAAACTTGGGAGTCATCAGTAGATACTTGGGACTGAGAGGACTGGACTAACAGACCTGAAGATATTTTCAAATGGGTCCCATCTGCGAGATTTTGTGCTGCTTTTGTCAAAATCTGTAGATATATCGCTCAAATTTGCCTGTGACGCAAATAAAAACAAATAAAAAAGAAATAAAAATAAACAAATAAAAATATCGCCCTGATGTTAGAATAAGATAAATTTGGGAGTCTTTTATACTGACCGGTGGTCCGTCGCTGCCGTTGGAGTAACGAATGATGTATTTTAACAGAATGCCGTTGTGTTGTTGCGGGGGTTCCCAGATAAGTTGAACACTGTTTCGATTCTTAACAATGGCTTTTATGGCTGATGGTCGACTAGGCACTGCATGGGGAAAAAAAAAAAGAATCATCAATGAAATGTTTCCATATAAGGAAAAAGTTAATCTTACCGCTGGCATTATCATTAACGGCATTTTAATATTTCCTAATTATTATTCTTATTGTTCTATACTTACGGTATATGTATTTGTCTTCAGGCTTTATTTTTTTGAAATATATTTTGCAAAGATGTATTATTTTAATAAAACATTTACCGAATGAGCCAAAAGCTGATAACGGAAGCCACGGTTCATGTTAAGAAAATAGGTTAAAAAAAATTTGTTAGAAAGATTCTGTACAAAAACTTATTCTATAAACTAAAATGAGCATTGGAAAAAAAGGTACTTAATATTTAATATAATGATATTTATCTATATATATATATATAAATTTTTACAGTGAAGAATTAAAACTTTATTACTTACAATTAGATTTTCAGTGTTTTTTTCTTAAAAATTTTTTTGTTGTTTTCCTATTTTTTAAAACGTTTTTACTTGAACCAGTTTCGCTTAGCTTTTCAAAAAGTTTTTAACTGATTCGATCTCCACGTGTTGATGCTTATATTTTGTACCAATGAAAAAAATGATAAATCAAGGGATATAACTTGCAATATATGTCGTTTATGATAAGGGAAATTTGGTAAAATCTATTTATGCAATGAATTAAGTATGGGTTTGAACTTGTACATGGAAAATGTTTTCGAATTAATCCGTGTTTAATCAGTGGTTCTGTAGTCGCACTGGTAGGATGTGAAGACACTAACATTTGGCAGATATTGTCCTTCGCATTCCTCTATATGTTGACTGAGGGGTACTTTTCTGGTGTGGGAATCCCTAATTTGTTGGCGATGAACTGTCATCCTTTTCCGGAGTGAATGGACAGTTTGACCAATGTAATGCTCCTGTCAATCTTTCCATGTAATTATGTATATTAAATTCTCTGAGTTGCACGAGAAATCGTTTGTAATTCTAAATTTTGATCTGTCTTTGAACTGAAATTCATGACCCTCTAATAGGTAGTTGCATAGCCCGCAAAGAAGTGGTCGATTGCATTTTTTGAATTTATATATATATATAAAAATATAAAGAAAGAACAGTAAGATATATAATCCGGTGTTCTTATAGATATTTTTATTTTTACAAAATAGTGCTCAATGTAAATTTACAGAGCATTAAGCGAATTTAAGGATGAAATGGAACTAATGTCTTTAATTTAATTACAAAATTAAATTCGGGTCTTTTATCTTCCATTTTTGAAACATGGTTTGAACTGTGTAGCGAAAAAATCATATTTTAAATCAATTAATTTATATATATATATATATATATATATATATATATATATATATATTACTATGAATTATTCATACAAAAAATAGATTAGTAAAGTTAATGATATAAAATGGCGAAATCCCTTCGCTAACAAAATGTTAAAGGTGCATTAACGTACAAATCACTCGATGAATGTTATGATCCTTGTTTTTTATATAATTATAAGCTGTATACAGTCTTTCTTAAATACGCAAGTACTTTCGACTGTACATTCAGCCATCTTCAGGCACGGGAATTATTTTGTTTTATTTGTTGAACTATTTAGTTCATGCAACATTGATTGATAAACTCCTACAACAAAAAACTTACTCAAATTGCCATATTATTAAAAAAAAAACGCACTCTCTTAAATTTTCAAAAAAAAAAAAAAAATTTTAGCGTTGCAACTGCACGCTCCAAAAATTTGTATCCGTTATCAATAACACATTTAAATAAAAACACACAATTCGATTCGCATTATTTTTTTTTCCATTTCGGATGTTACCTGAATTTTACCAAAAACAAAATAATTTCCATTATTATAGAAAAGAAAAAAAGTTCAAATATCTATATATTATTCCAGGATCATTTTCAACTTATTCGAGATGATCTTAACCCTCTAACCTTCTAACCCTCTTTCATGGTGTTATAAAGTGCCTCAGAAATTTCATTTTCAAGTCTTTTTTCACTGTTCTTTGAACTGTCATAGTTGAAACTCCTCTCTCATGTACCAGACGCCTTATGCATTGAGTTGGATCTTTTCTAATTGATCTCTTTAACTCTAAATTGAAATGATGATTCCTCTTTCTGCTGTGACCTTCTGATCCAGTTTACATCTCTAATGTTCCCTCTTTTTAAAACTTACTCAGGGTTCTCTTGATGTTTTTTGATATATATATATATATATATATATATATATATATATATATATATATATGATTAAATACATGTCATGGGTCCTTACCTATAACTACAGAATGAACTCTTCCTAACACTATATATATATTAGGCCTCTCAGAGAGAGAGGTCGAATCGAGTCGAGTCGATAGTATTTCACTCCAAATCAGACTGACAGTCATACTAACTCCTTCCACAACTTGTATTATTATTTCGTGTAATATACCTTCGTTATTTCTACTCTTGTGTTCGTGTTGTTCTTCCTTGGTCCTGACCTGGACCATAAAGATACAAATAATATTTATGACAATCAATCCTTCCGATATAAGACAATAAATAAAACATATTTACCGTCTTCATGTGTTCGCACGTAAATCGGTTCGCTTCGGGCTCCTTCGCCCATTCTTGTGAAAGCAAGAACCTCGATGCTATAATTGGTATATTTTTTGAGATTGTAAATAGTAACACGAAACTGGGACGTCCTCACCTGACTGGCTTCGGTTTCATCTACAAAAGACAGAGGGAGAAAGAAATTTGTATTTTGAAATTGGTCAAAGAATTTATATCTTATCACTATTTCATAAGTACAACATATTATTATTATGATTTATATCATATCAATCTTATTATTATTACTATTATAATTATTATTTATATATTATAACTAGTTCGTTATTATTATTATTATTACTATTATTATTATGTATTATCATTGTTTTATTATTGTCTTATTATTAATAATATATAATCCTATATTATTATTATAATCATATTATCACTATTTTATTATTACATATATCCGATCCCTATTTTATTTGTATAATATATTTATTATTGTTTATATGTAATTACTACTTATTATTAATATTATTATTACGATTACAATTATTTCTCATATCTCATTACTAGTATATTATTATTAATTTTATATTAGCATTTTTAATATTATATTATTATTAATAATATCTAATCAATAATATTATCATATTTTTATTCATTTGTTATTATTAATTATCATCATTGTATAATTATTCATATTTTATCAGAATATTATTATAATATTATTATTATTATTATTATTATCTGATCGCTATTTTAATGTTATAATATACCGTGATTATTATTCGTATCTTTTAACTATTTTATTATTATTCATATATTATTTTATTATTGTATTATGATTAGTTATATCTAATCACTATATTATTATATTATTACTATTTTATTATTATGATATATATATTCTTCTTATTATTTTATCACTATTTTATTATCATATATTATTATTACTTTTATCTGATCATTTTTTTATTATTATGACAATAATATTGTTAATTGTATCTTACCACTATTCTTCTTGCTAAAATAAGAATTATATTTATTTTATTATTATTATTATTATTATTATTTTATTATTATTATAGTCTATTCCCATTTTCCTTAATTGAAATACCTGTGCATATGTTCATACAATCCGTGATAACACTGGGTGGATTTAGCAATTAATATTTTTAGAATAATAATACAATAATAATAATGTTTAATTAATATATTTAAAATAATAATACAAGCAGATAATTAAATAAAAATAAAGTTGCATTGGATGACTGACCTTCGTCTGTTCGCACTTCTTTGTAGAGAACTTTGTATCCCTGGAGGACACCTTGCATCGTATAATAGGGTGACTCCGCCCATGAGATTTCAATGCTTGTCGAACTGAACGCACGGGCCTTAACGTTTTGGGGCGGAAGACTAGGTACTAAAAGAGAAACAAAAAGTTTTAAATTTGCCAAATGTAAAGCAACCATTATAAAGACTTTAAACTATCCCCCCACTACTTTTAAGTTACTTCCAGGTAATTCGATCCCATATTAAACCCCAAGGGTAACCCGAATCTAATTTCACATAATTATTACACTAGCATTACGCAATATTTACTTATCTTTCCCCAGTTGTCGGACGTGACATATGTTCTGTTTAGCTCATATGCAAACGTATGGACCAAGTACTGATGCTGCTATCCGCCAAGCCTCTCATTTTAATATAATGCGGGAGGTGCTGCCGAAGAGTTGAAACCTATCGTCAAGTTCACACTCACCCACCGGTCTTTTAACAGGAATAGAGTTTTATCCCTTGTTTCCTGTTTAGGATTGGGTTTCTGGTTCCTTCATCTAAAGTTTTTTCATTCTCTTTCGCTACCAGTACTCCTTGCGTCATGGTGGCGTTATTGCCTTGATTGGGGTGAAATGATTAAAAAAAATATTCAAGCTTCATTTCAGAATCGTGAATTGCCCAAAGGCTTTGAGTGGTTTATTGAATAATTGATTGATTCGTTTTTTTCAGCTTATCAATCCTTTGAGGGGTTATTTAAAGCCAGAAAATATTTTTAGATTGTAAGAATTTTTTTCACTGGCTGAGATAAAAATTGTTTATTAATACGACTATTACTAATTAAACCATAGCTGGGGGAGAAAAGGTAGATCCATACCTTTTTTCAAGAGTGTTCGCACGTAGGTGAATATAACGAACACAGCGGGAATTGGAACTCGATTGGCAATCTCAAACCATTATCCATTATATCACCCACACATCCAAGCTTACAGAACATGACATTCACAAGCGGTCACCCATTTCAACGCTAACCAGGCTCAAAGTTGCTTAACTTCGGTGATCGAATGGATAACTGTGTTTCAATGGGATGTGGCCTTAAACCACACTCCGAAGGTAGAAACACGGCGTAGAGGAGAACAGTTACCACACATGATTTTTAGCTGATTAAGGCAGGGTGAAATGCAAGGCATTTTTTATGTAGGGTACCCGTAGGCGAAAATGTTTTATGTGGAGTACTCATAGGAAAAATGTTTTATGTGCGGTATCCATACGCAAAAATGTTTTAGTTGGAGTACGCATCGGCGAAAATGTTTTCTGTGGGGTACTCATAGGCAAAAATGTTTTATGTGGGGTACTCATAGGCAAAAAAGTTTTATGTGGGGTACTCATAGGCAAAATTGTTTCATGTCGGGTACTCATACGCAAAAATGTTTTATGTGGAGTACCCATCGGCGAAAATGTTTTATGTTGGGTACTCATACGCAAAAATGTTTTGTCGGGTACGCAAAAATGTTTTATGTGGGGTACCCATATGCTAAAATATGCATATAAGCCAAGGGAAATTATTGCCCAGTCCTGATAACTACTGCTACGTTAACGTCGATATTACAACGAGCTCACCTCGGTTGGTGCAATGAGCAAGTTGTTGCTGCTGGGTTAGAATCCCCAAGACTTGGCGTCTTCTCTCATAATGGTATATCGATGAGAAGTTCCACGCGAGCCATTTTTTTTCGCAAACCACTGCCCTGTGGAACCGACTACCAACCTCTACAATCTTAAACTGTTCAAGGCTAGGGTTAACCTTTATCTTTCACTCCTATACGCACAAATTTCCTCCTAACGTAACTCTATCCCTCGAGTGGTGTCCCCCCGTGCCTTGTAAAGAGTGAACTTTACTGTAAAAAAAAAAAAATACACGACGAGGCAAAAGTCGCGCACCATAAGAGTTAATTTATTAATCATATTTCTAAAATCTAATTTGTTTTGATAGGCCCTATTGAGCGACCACCGAAGTCACCAGACCTCACACCCATGGATTATTTTTTTCTGTAGGGCATTTTGATACCAGTTGTTTTTAGACGCACTCAAGAATTATTGAGAAAATTAAATAAATAAATAAATATGAATGCATTAAAATGACAGAGAATACTCTCTGACGTGAATCATGCAGGAAGTGAATTGAAATATGTTTTGAAAAAGAAGGAGGAAGACATTATGTATTGCACATATAACAATTAAATAACTTACGATGTGTAATTATACTTTTAATAAATTATCTCTGTGGTGTGTGAATTTTGACTCACCTTGTATATAATAATATTTTTGATGAAGCATTGTTATTATAAAATTTCTTACACTTCTTATTATTGCTTATTTACCCTTAGTATGGACAAGAATACTGAGGAAGGTGCTGGAAATTTGATGAGAAATACTCTCACCTTATCTTTAGCGATATTTCGTGTGTGTGTATGTGTGTGTATAAAAGAAAAAAATATTAGATCGCATGAGAAATTGTATAAAAACTAAATAAAACACTGTGTCTGTCTATTCAATGAAATGTGCTTGAAAGAAGGATTGCTACCTAAATACAGAAATTATATATATATATATATATATATATATATATATATATATATATATATAATATAATTCGCTTGAGGATGAAATGGAACTAATGTCTTTAATTTAATTACAATTAAATTATGTTGGAATGTTCACTTACCGTCCTCTAAAGTGAAAGCAGTCACATCAGCCGATATGGGCCCCATACCCTTTCCATTGTAGGCGCGCACATGAAGATCGTAGCGTGTAAACTTGAGCAAGTTTTTCACCTGCAGCTCCAGATCGCTGTTGTTCTCAGTGAGTATCTGGGTATACTCGTATGCCTCGCTAGAGTTGTGTCGCTTGAAACCAACGTGGTAACCAATGATTTTGCCATTCTGATTTTCGTACAACGGTGGCTAAAGAAAGAAAAGTCCCACATGAATAAAGAAGTAAAAAAAAAAAAATAATTATGAGTAATTAGCATTTAGCTGATTTTGGCACAAAGCCACTTTTCGGGGACAGTGCTTGATTTGCAGCGAGCATTTCATTAGGGACGTCTTCATTGCTTAAAAAAATGAGATACTTATTTTTATTTGAAATTTAAAAAAGAACGAAAAATGCGGCAATAAGCTTCGAACACGCATTGGATTATCGAAAAGTTCCCCAAACGAAAATTATTAAGAAACACGACATTCTGGTTAAAAACAAAGAAAAGCGGGTCGCATTCCTCTGTGATATTCATCCTCTTACATAGCAGAAAATGCTGGACAATCTCTGCACAGATGGAGTGGAACTTGAAGGCAGCGAAAATTAGGTTCTGCAGAAGGATATTGAGAATTCCATGGACGGAGCAATGGTAACAACAAGAAAATGGCAACAAAAAGAACGCTTATACTAAGAATCACGAAGAAAGAGCTGAAAAATATTGAAAACATAATGAGGAACGAGCACTTGGAAAACTTAACACTCACAGGGCCTATCGAAGGCAAGAGAGGTAGGAGAAAACTGCGACTCAAATACTTGAAGTGCTTGTGGGAATGGATAGCAAAACAGGGGGTGGGAGATTTTGCAAAGGGAGAAACACTATCCTCCTCTCCATTGCCATAGCCACAACATTTCGGCCTCTGTACGTTCCGGATTTCTTCAGGTGATTGGTTAGATCCAGGCCACAACAGTGGTGAACGAAAACTAGAAGTGCTGAGTTATAGGGAAATAACTGAAGTATCCGGAAGGGGCATGGCACTGGAAATAGAACAATCTACCCCGGTGAACGAAATAAAGGTTTCGGTTCAAAATTTCTATCAATCGCCTGATGAATGCCAGGTAGTACAACGGCCGAAACGTTGTGAATATGACACTGAAGATGAGGATAACAGTCCCAATAATGTAAATGATGCAAGGCTCTAAATACTTATCTATTCTGTAATATACCCAAAAATGACTATAATTTTGTTAGTGCCACAGCCTGATCTTGACCGTTCATTAAATATATTCACGAAAATTTAATTGACGGCAATAAGCAAACATGACTCGAGTTGCCATAATAACGGAATATCACATTAGTAAATAGGGATGATCAGGTTACTAATACAACTTTTTTATTTCTTTTGCATTGGTATTAAATTTTTTTTTTAAATAGTTTTACTTGTAATGGAGTATTGATTGATTGATTCTTTTACACTATGTCAACATTTGTAGGTTATTTAAATCCAGAATTATTTATATTGTAAGAATAGTACCACGGCTCTCAAGTCCTGTAGTCCCCACAGATGAGTATGTTACCACGGCTCTCAAGTCCTGTAGTCTCCACAGATGAGTATGTTACCACGGCGCTCAAGTCCTGTAGTCCCCACAGATGAGTATGTTACAACGGCGCTCAAGTCCTGTAGTCCCCACAGATGAGTATGTTACCTCGGCTCTCAAGTCCTGTAGTGCCCACGGCTCTCAAGTAGACACACTGAAGTGTATGAAGCCATGGTTCTCAAGTCCCGTAGACTCCCAGAGGAGTATGTAACCAAAAATGTGCGTAAATTACCAGGGAAATATGGGATGGGGGGCACAATTCCCAGGTACCGTAATCTCCTTGAGGAGAATGGGGTTAAAGTTCTCAGTACGCACGGCGTTGCCGTTATGGTTTCCACTACAGTTAAGTCTTAACCGGATAGAATTGCTAGCCCCATGTTCAACCACTTTTGGAATTCAGAGTTGGACCTCTCCTAGAATGGTTGCCAACCAAGGTCGAAGAGCTCAGACTTCCATATTATTCAAATATAAAGGCATAGAAGAAATGGATTCATATATATTCCAACCTTATTGATGCAAAAAACATGCAACATGCGACCTGAATTTGAACACAGCTTGTCCGATTTTCCCGTTTCCAGCTGCTAATCATTACAATTACATGTTTGGACTCTGGCAAAAGAGTTATAACTAGAAATTCCTCGATTACACATGCAGAAAATATAAGCAATGCAATTGTAAAATGATATAAAAATTTCAGTCAATTGTTAAACGACACGTTTCGTTAATTTTCTTTGGATAGTTTTGATTTTTAAAACAATTCATTCTTACGTGCAAGGATGAAATTAAGTGTATACATATAAATCCTAGACTGCAATGCAATTGCAACATTACTTAAATAATGCCACCATTCTTTCTTTTGAGATATATTTTTAAAAATTGTAATTTAATTCTTTCTTACATGCGACATTGGAATTAAATGTAAAGAAAAAATTCCTCGATTACTCATGCAAAAAATATAGGCAATATTTTAGTTAATAATATTTCCAAAACAGGCATACGAAAGGAAAACCATAAAGTACTCTTTCTTCGAAATCTGATGATTTTGTGCTTAATTAGAAAAGATAAAAAATAATATATTAAAGTTACTATGATCCAAGGTAAGACATTTTCTGTCCGTCATATACATTTTATAGAATATTTTTTTAAAAATTGTCTTATTTTATTATTGATTATTGCTTTTAATTTCTGATTGTGCTGAATTGTAAAGAAAAATGTATATAGGTGGGCATAAGTAAGATTGAAGGGGGTGATTTTGAAGGAGACTATGGTGCCATTATTCTCTTTAAGTTGATGTTTGTTTATATTAAATAGTTGATGCTTTTCAGAAGGTCATCAAATAGATACTTATAACACCACATATATACATACATACATACATATATATATATATATATATATATATATATATGAAGAAATATAGTCTTAAGGTGTGCTATATTTATAG